GCGCCCTCCGGAGACCTCCCGGGGCTCGCGTGCCCCTCCCCCACCCCACCTGAAGGGAAGGGAGGCGTGGGGGGGCTCCCCCCGCCCGGTCCTGGAAGACCGGGTCAGGCATTGTTTTCTTGCCTATTGTTCCAGTTCCGCGCCCCCCACCCCAAGTTGAGGGAGTTTGGGGAGAGTCTAGGGAGCAATGAGTGAACTCCCCGCGCCCCACCCCGCCGGTGTCGGGGCTGCCCGGGGAATGTTTACCTGCGAGGTGTCCCCTCCCGCCGGGTTATTTTGGTCCCGGCTCCCGGAGGAAGAGGTCAAGGGGGAGCGTCATCCCCCCTCGCTTCCGGATAATGGGAGGAGCGGACTTGGAAAGGGAAGAGAAGGGTCCCAGGGGAGAAGGGACTCCTAAAATCCGCCGGGGAAGAGCTAAGGATAGGAGAGAGGTTGTGCAGGGGGCCGGAATCGAGAAGAGGGAGGCTTGGAGTTTCCCCCAGCAGCACATGGTTCGGGAGTTAACTCCTTGAGGAATCTTGCCGAGGGCGCAGGCTGGCATCTCCCGCCTGCCTGGCACAAGCAGCCGGGCCCCCCCTTCCTGGGACATCCCTGAATGCTGTGGCCCGGGGCTCTTCCCGCCACGCTCCTCTGGGTTCCCAGCACCGCACCTGCCCTCGGCCTTGACTTTTAACCTGACTCTGTGATACTTAGAAGTAGAAGATGAGGTCCCTAGACCCCCTACTTCTCCGCCTAGTCCCTCACTGGCCCTTTAAGAAATCCCCCCGCCCACAACAACAAAACGTGTTTGACGGTCGTGACTGTTGTCCCCTCTGGTTTTCTCTGTTCCTGATGCTGATGGCTGGTCCGGGGAAGGAGCTGGGAAACAAGTCCAGAAAGGGCGTGGGGGGAGGATCTTCTAGAAGTTTAAGGTCAAAGACTCAGACTTCCCGCCCTGTTTGGAGTGCTTGATTGTGTGATTGAAGGCTGGTGTTGTGCGGTTGGGCAGTCCTGCTGTTAAGTGAGTGACCCCCAGACTGGGGAGCAGCCCCCATTACTGGAACTGGCTCTAGTTCTTTGGAGTCACCGCCTTCCCCCAGTTACCCTGGGAAAAAGCCGCTGGCTGACAGCTTTGCTCAGCGACTGTCCTCCCCCCCCTCAGCTTGCTATGGCATCGTTCAGGTGCCAACGGGACCCTGGTTCTGCCGGAAATGTGAATCTCAGGAGCGAGCAGCCAGGGTGGTGAGTTCCAGACTGCCCCGCTCCACTCCCCGGCCCCTCCCACACACCTGAGCGTCTCCGGTTGAGCTAGGGGACTTTGGTTGAGCTAGGGGACTCTGAGGCGAGGCTGGGGTGGGACTTAGCTCTGTCACACAGACTTCCTGTTTCCTGCACACCTACCTCCAACCCCTCCTCTGCCTCACGCTCATCCTTCCCTCTGCCCCATCTCAGGCATGGGGCTTTGGTTTTTGTCTGTTTGAACTTTTTTATTATGGGAAGTTTCCTACTCATATGAAAGTAGAGGAAAAACTATAATGAATCTCATGTCCCCTTCCTCATCTTCAACAGTTACCAACTCACGGCCAATCCTATTTCCACTGTAGCCCCATCCATCCCCCACTAGAGCTTAGCATTTCAGCCTGGGACCCCTTGAATGTGTTCAGAGAGGGCCCAGCTCAGCAGATCCCCCAACCCCTGTGCACCCTTGCATTGGCAGAGGTGTGAGCTGTGCCCACACAAAGACGGGGCATTGAAGAGGACTGATAATGGAGGTGAGGAGGGCTCATCTGCTGAGGTCAGCAAGGCCCCCTGAGCAGGGTCTGGGAAGGCAGGAGTGGACTGGGTTGGGGTGGAGGCCGGGTTTTCTTTCCCTGGCTGGCGCTGGAATCTGATGGGAAGGCTGTGGAGGAGGGAACGGTCAGCAGCGTGGAGGGAACGGTCAGCAGTGTGGGGTCATGAGGGGTGGAGTCTCCAGCTTGCCATCTGCAGCTGAGGCCACCTCCACACTGCCCCAGGCTGGGCACATGTGGTGTGTGCCCTCTACATCCCCGAGGTGCAATTTGCCAACGTGCTTACCATGGAGCCCATCGTGCTGCAGTACGTGCCTCATGATCGCTTCAACAAGGTCGGCAACCCCCGCTGTGTCCCCTACCAATTCCCTCCTATCCATGGGTTCCTCCAACGCTCTCTTCATCCAGTGTAATTTGATTCTGTCCAACCAGCACTGAAAGGGAACTTGGGAGGTGGGTAGGTACCTACCAGTGAACCACCCTTCTGTTGACAGACACACCTGTGCTCTGGCACTCAGGTGAAATAGTAGGCTCCTCTGCAGTAGTTCTGCCAGAGGGTAGACCTTCACAGGTACTTCATTCATTCCTTTGCTGGACACATTTTATTAAGTGCCTACTATGCGCCAGACCTGGTGCAAGGTAGCTGGAATATGCTGTTCTGTGCTGATCAAGACAGGTGTGCTACCCGCTCAATGGAATGCAAGTTCTTGCATGCAAAGACCATAAATATCAGTAAAAAGACAAAGTAAATGCAATTTGTGATAAGTGCTGTGAAGAAAATAAGACATTAAAATAAAGACCTGGTGGGGGCTTACTTTAGACCAGATGCTAAAGGAAGGAGACATTTAGGCTGAGACCTGGGGCATGAAAAGGAGCCAGCTTCCAGGAGGGTGAGGGCCCCAGGTTCCAGGCAGAAGAAGGCCTGCGCAGAAGCGCAGAGGTGGGCATAAGCTCCCCAGTGAGCAAGACAGACACAGGCCTTGGCCCTTCAGAGCTCACCATCCAAGGACTGTGCTACCCAGCATAGTAGCCGTTGGCCATACATGGCTACATAAATTAATCAAAATTAAATGCAGGCCGGGTATGGTGGCTCATACCTGTAATCCCAGCACTTTGGGAGTCTGAGGGGTGTGGATCATCTGAGGTCAGGAGTTTGAGACCAGCCTGGCCAATATGATGAGACCCTGTCTCTAGAAAAATACAAAAATTAGCTGGGCATGGTGGTGAGCACCTGCAGTCCCAGCTACTCGGGAGGTTGAGGCAGGAGAATCCCTTGAACCCAGGAGGCGGAGGAGGTTGCAGTGAGCTGAGATCGTGCCACTGCACTCCAGCCTGGGCGACAGAGGGAGACTCTTGTCTCAAATAAATAAATCAATAAAAATAAACAAGAATTAAATACAATTTAGAATCTAGTTCCTCAGTCACACTAGCCATAGTTCAAGTGCTAATAGCCCATGTGACTGGTGGCATTTGTCTTGGACAGCGTAGACCATAGAGCGTTTTCATCACTGCAGACAGTTCTGTGGGATAGCACTGATCTAAGACTGTGGAGAGCAAATGGAATGAAAGGGGTGGCCTAAGGACCATCAGTAGGACAGGGGCTCCCTGGAGGAGGGGACGATTGTGCTGTGTCCTGCAGACCTGTTACATCTGTGAGGAGCAGGGCCGGGAGAGCAAGGCGGCCTCAGGAGCCTGCATGACCTGTAACCGCCATGGATGTCGACAAGCTTTCCACGTCACCTGGTGAGACCCCCGTCCTACCCCCCACCCCCTGGGGTTGTCCTGGATGGCCACTGATCAGGCTCATTCTAGCTGCTGTCTTTTTGATGGTGGTGGCAATGCTTTCTTTGGATGGTCTTGGCTTCGCCTCAGCAGGGGGCCAGGAGGGTGGGAGGAAGGTGGCTCATCTGATATGTGGCCTCAGCCGTCTCAGGCTGCCCTCTCTGGTTAGTGCCCAAATGGCAGGCTTGCTGTGTGAGGAAGAAGTGCTGGAGGTGGACAACGTCAAGTACTGTGGCTACTGCAAATACCACTTCAGCAAGATGGTGAGTCCCAGCGGCCAGTGCATGAGAGGGTCAGTCAGCTGTGGTTAGATGGTTAGAGGGCATGGGCTTTGGGCCAGGCCAGTACCTGGTGCTAGGAGGACAGAGAGGGAAAGAACCCAGTCCCTGCCCAAGAGGAGCTCTTCATTCGATGAGGAATAAAGTATAGCTTCAAGTGTGTGGATCAGAGCTGGACCAAGCAGTCTGTCCCAAAAGACAAAGCTCAGACTCTGCCTGTCGGAGTCTAGGAGGCTTTAAGGAAGAGGTAGCATTTAAGCTGAGTGGAGGTGGAAATCAAAATAAGAGCCAACATTTGTGTGGGAGGCAGCATTTACTATGCCTCTGCCTTAGGACAAAGTTCTTGCCGTGTGTTATTTGGCGTGGTCCTCCCACCCACCCTAAGAACTAGGTGTACTATATTTTCCCCATTTTACAGATGAGTAAACTAAGGCTCACTGAGGTTATATAACTTATCTTGCAGCTGGTAGATGGGATTTAGAACGGGCAGCCTAATTTGAAAACTCCTCGGGAGCCTGCCAAACAGAGAAACGAGTCCCAGGCAGAGGGACTGGTGTGGACAAAGTCCTGAGAGGAGGAAGGGCATGGGTGAGCGGCGGGAGAATGGGGTGTTTGGTGGGGAAGAGGCAGGAGATGAGGTGAGAAAGCAGGGCCCGAGCTGGGCTTGTCTCTGCCCCAGGCTTCAGGCCTGGGGCCCAGGGGGAGGCTGGAAAGGGTGCTACTCTGTGTGTGTGGCGAGACTGGTGTGTCCCAGAAGCCGTGAGGTGTTCCGGAGCAGTTGGCTGCAGCTTGGATCTACCCCCTAGCCACAGGCTTGTCAGGCCTGTAAGTGGGAGAGTAACATGATCAGATTTGTTTTTTAGGAAGATTACCCTGGCAGCCGCTGTGAGGCTGGATCAGAAGGGCTGAGGCTGGTGGCCGGGAGACAGCTGCGAGAAGGGGGATGGAGGGGTGAGGCTGGATGCTAGAACCATTTCTAGGGAGACTTGCCTAATCGTGGGAGTGGCTGAGAAGTAGGAGTTGGGGGTGACATTTAGGATCTAGGCTCTAGACACTGAGTAAATGGAGCTTGAATACCTGGGGGTGCCATGAACAAAGGGTGCAGCTGGCTTCTGTAGGGGGAACACATGTCCTAATTTGCCCCAGACAGTCCCAGTTTATACCTGTTGCCCTGGTGTAATTATTAATAGCTCCCCTGTTTCATTTTTCGAAGTGTCCAGGTTTGGATGATAAGTTACATGGTCACCTTGGTTTCAGGGTTTGATAACTTAGGACAAGGAAACGAGCTTGGTTTGGTTTGCAGGAGGCGCCATGTGGAGACATTTAGATTTGGTGGATGTCAGACTCCTGGGCAGGGTGTAGTGGCAGCTCCAGGCTTATAAGGCTGGGGCTATAATCCCAGGGTGTCCACAAGGATAGATCAGGTGGGCCACAAAAGAGGGGGCCTTGCAGGGTATGGGGCTCTGCAGGTAGGAGCTGTGTCCAACACTGGGGAGCTGCCAGGTCAGACAAGGCCTGAAATTAACCCTTGGGCTTGGCAGTTGGGAGGTAGTTGGTGACCTTAGAGGGAGCAGCTACAAGCCCGGGGAGGGTGAAGCCGTCAGGCTGGGTCTGTAGTGAAGGG